AACCAAAAAAACAACAACAACAAAAAAAAAAACAACAAGAAAAAACCCCAAATCATTGAGTAACTCTTTGTTTTCTAGTTTTCTTTTTAATCAGGCATACAGGCAGGCTAAAGAACAAATGCTTTTTAGGTAATTTGGGTGGATATCCAGTGAATAATAACCTCTTGGTGCTGAATTCTTAAAATCTAGCAAGAGATAGGACTCCCTGACCATGCCCTGGAAATTTCTGAACTTATCCATATTTCAGAGTTGGATTTTTCTGTTTATTGATTATTTTTGTTGTTTTCACTTATATTGCTACAGTCTCTAAAACCGTTTTAAAAAACTACAATCAATATATGAAGGCTCCTGTGGTAACTGACATACATGCATGCAACTGAGAGCTAGGGGCTACAGACTTTAAAAGAATTCTGCCAAGGAGCTATTCAATGGGGTATGTCACAGCCAGAACTTCCTCTCTAGCAGAAATAAAGTACCTGAAGGCTCTTTGTTAAATTACTCTTCCATGTAAAATCATGTATTTTTACTATTTAGACAATAAATGTTCTTTGCTTTTGGTCAAAACTTGAAAATCTTTAAGATTTAAGAGAAAAAAAGTTATAATCTTGGGAAAATTTAGGCATGAGGAACAAGGAATTAGGCTAATGTAGTTTGCACAGTTGTGATTACCAATGATGGGTCATTATAACTTAATGTTTTGGTCTGCCACATGCATCCCAGCATTTATTAAAGTGTCCCTGTGAACACAATCACAGTCTAAAACAGCACAGATGGCAAAAGTATTTCCATACATGTTTTGAAGTGGTCCTCTAAAGGAAGCAAATATTCTTCAGAAACAGAAAAAAAAAAGTGATTGAAATATGGTTTAAATTTCAACCTCTTTTAATATTAAAATTATGGAAGTTTGATTAAATAGAAATTTAAACTGAGTGAACTGCTCACTGAAGAACAGCTGTGTAGTCTGCAGCTGGTTTTCCACAGCAGCATGCTGTTCCACAGTCCTTCAGCTCCCTCTGCTGCTTAATTGATTCACAAATTTTTCATATTTGCATGGAGTTTTTACCCGGTTTTTCTAATCTCTGTCTTGATGAGAAAAAAGGATGCAGATTAAAATTGCACCTGAAGCAATGAAATGATTGCTCAAATTGATAAACAGTGTGTGCAAAGTTCCGTGTAATTATTGTCCCTCCTTTTCTCAGGGAATGAGAAGAAGCCTGTCACATTGTCCTGATTGCTTTCTGGTGACTTGCTGTGCATATATTCTGCCATTATAATTTGACTTGTTATAACTGAAAAGTATCTGTTGCTTAAACTGACTTTTTCTGGATATGCAATTTTATTTCATAGACATTATTAACTAGAATCAAAGAATCATTTAGGTTGGAAAGATCATTGAGTCCAGCTGTTAATCTAACAATGCCAAGTCTGCCACTAAAACTACACCTATGTATCTTATAAATACTTTCAGGGATCGTGACTCAGCCATTGCCCTGGGCACCCTGGGCCAATGCTTGACAGCCCTTTCCATGAAGTAGTATCTCCTAACACCCAATCTAAACCTCTTTTGGCACAACTTGACATTGTTTTCTCTTGTCACTTGTTATTTGGGAAAAGAGACCAAGCCCCACTTGGCTACAACCTGCTTTCAGGCAGCTGTAGGGAGAGATAAAGTCTCCCCCAGGCCCCCTTTTCTTCAAGGTAAAGAACTCCAATTTTTTTCAATTGCTTTTTTATATGACCTGTTCTCTAGGTGCTTCCTATTTCCCTTTCCTAAACGTGCTCCAATGGGCTCAAAACTGACCACAGGATTCAAAGTTTGGCCTCACCAGTGCTGAGTACAGGGGGATGATCACTGCCCTGGTCCTGCTGGCCTCACTGTTTCTGATACAGGCCAGGTGCCACTGGCCTTGGCCACCTGGGCACACACTGCCTCATGTTCAGACAACTGTCAGCCAAGAGCCCAGGTGCACCTTTCCAGACACTCTGCCCCCTGCTTGTAGTGCTGCACAGGGCTGCTGTGACCCACAAGCAGGACCTGGTTCTTCCTTGCCCTAGTGAACCTCATACCATTGACCTTGACCCATCAATCCAGCCTTACCAGAATCCTCTGCTTCCTACCCTCCAGCAGATCTACACTCCCACCCAGCTTGGTGTCACCTGCAAACTTGATGAGGGTGCACTTGATCCCCTCATCCAGATCATCAATAAAGATATTACACAGGACTGGCCCCAATACTGAACCTGGGGGAATGTCATGAATGACCCAAAGCCAGCTGGATGTAGCACCACTCACAACCACTCTCTGGGCCCAGCCACCCTGCCAGTTTTTAACCCACGGAACAGTGCCCCTATCCAAGCCAGGAGCAGCCAGCTTCTCCAGGAGATTGTTGTGAGAGAAAGTATAAAAGGTTTTACCAGTCCATATAGACTACATCCACTAGGTGATTTTGTCACCGAAGATCAGATTGGTCACCTGCCTTTCATAAACCATGCTGGCTGGGCCTAGATTGCTTGGTTGTCCTGTATGTGCCACATGATGGCACTCAAAATGGCATTCCCCACCCCAAGGGCCAGGCTGACAGACCTCTAGTTCCCTGAATCCTTTCAACCCTGCTTGTAATGGGGCATCACATTTTCTAACCTCCAACTGACCACTGAGCTGTGACCTTCCCATTAGACCATGATTGCTAATAAATGATGGAAGATAGTTCAGTGAGAACTTCTGCCTGCTCCCTCAATATCCATGCTTGGATCCCATACAGCCCCAAAGGTTTGTGTGTGTCTAAGTGGTGTAGCAGGTCACTGACCATTTCCCCTTGGATAACAAGGGCTTCATTCTGCTCCCTGCCCCTGTCTCCCAGCTCAGGGGGCTGGGTTCTCAGAGAACTTGGTCTTACTAATAGGCATTGAGTACCTCAGCCTTTTCATTATTCTTACTGTGTTTCCCCTCCCATCCAAAAAAGGATCCAGTCTCCTTAGCCCTCCTTTTGTCACAAAGGTATTTACTGGAACACTTTTGTTGCCTTTTACACAGTAGCCAGATTAAGTTCTACTTGGGCTTTGGTCCTAATTTGCTCGCGCAAAGCCTCATGACATCCTTGTAGTCCTCCTGAGCTGCCTGGCCCTTCTTCCAACTCTCCATTTTCCCCCTGAGTTCCAGCCAAAGCTCTGTTCAGTCAAGCTGGCTGCTCCACCCCCTTGACAATTTCCTGCCTTAAGAATGTCCAGCCTCCCTGGACTCCTTCGGCCTTCAGGACAGCCTCCCAAGGTACCCTGTCAACCAAGCTCCTAAACAAGACAAAGTCCGCCCTCTGAAAGTCCAAGGTACCAGTTCTGCTGAGTCCCCTCCTTACTTCTCTAAGAATTACAAATCAAATATTTTGTGATTACAGTGGCAAATAATGTCTCCAACTGTTTCACAGTGATATACATATATATGTTAATAATTATGTCTTTATATAGCTCAATGTCCTCTTTATTAGCAATATTTCTTGCAGATTTCTCTGGAACACTTTCTTTCCAAGATTTTCATCATGTTCATCTATCAAAAATGTTAAAGTGAAAAAAGAAGCAGCTTGTATGCTTGCATTTTCTAGTTTTTATTGCTGTATTTTTCACTTCTAAGTAGACTTGATAAAGCTTATCCCAGCTAGAAGACAAATGGATATAGTCAAACTAGGTTCTGGCCAAAATACAATATAAATGCAAACACACATACATTAATTAAAGCAGGACTTTGGTTAATTAGGTATAATGAAGGGATTATCTACCAGAATGTATGTCAGAAGTATAGAAAACCCAGCATCATACATCATACTGACTAAAATGGTGATTTGAAGAGCAGTAAAGGTTAAGGGAATATTAACACATGCTGTTATGCTGATTTCAAGGCATCTCTGAGGCTCAGGGGATTTTGGAAACTGCAGGTCTATACAGACTACATGGAATATGGGAAGCCTACAATTCAATGTGTAATTTTCTCCACAGGTATCTGGGTTATTGTACCCATTTTTTTGTCTTCAGATATTCAGCCATGAGATTATGTCAGTCACTGATGAATTACGCCAGGAAAATAAGATTATGAAATCTCCATTGCAATTTTGTAAAACTACTGAAAGCACAGGTTTGAAAAATCATAATCAAGACCTTACTTCCTCCAGTACAACTGGGATGACTTTATGAGGGATCTACATTAATGCTTAGCCCCCTAAAAGTAATGCTTCCTGTAGGTATGAATTATGCTACACCAGGAAATAAATACAACCCAGAGACAGTCCAACACACTCAGGCAACTCAGGCTTAATGAGCAATCAAGAACTTTGTGTGTGCTCTGGGTTGTCCTTTGTGAGGACCGTGCTTAGGTTTGAATCTTCTCATAGTGTTTGCTGCTGATCAGGAAAAGGCAACACACTGTTGTCATCTTCAGGCACCTTGTTCCTGAGTGACACCTTAGAAACAGGACCACTGGTATGGAGACTAATCACATGACTGAATACCTCCCAGGAGGAAATTAGAGTGATGGCCAGATCCAAAACACTGTAGGCACATGAAATAAATAGGTGAATGGCGGGAGCCCAAGTCTGCAGTCACACAAGGGCCCTGCCAAAGGCTGCCAAATTCTGGAGATACTTGGGAGTACCTCCCCCTTTCAGCTGTAGCATGACAGGCACTTGAAATTGGTGCATGTGCTGACATTTCCCCACCTGAGCAGTTCAGGGCCCCACTCCAGCTCCAGTCTCACCAGAGTCTGCTGCCCCACCACAGCCAAATCTCAGCTATGCATTGCCTGAAAAAGCTTCATACATTGACTGTCCTGTTGTCACAAAACATATTGGGACACTGAACAGGAGATGGCAACACTGATCATCATAACCAGTCCTCCACTACCAGAGACAATCAGGACATGAGCAGCAATTCAGGGCATAAAGGACTCAAGTCACAAAAGCCTTCCTACCACTGGAAGTGTTAGACCACCCAAGCATTTCAGGAGGTGCTCAAAAGAAAATTATTAAATTTAGTTATTAAATTTTGGGTTTATCCATAGTTATTAAATCCAGTACATAGAGCTGTAGTTCAGGTGCTCATCTTTTAAAATAGAGTGATGACGATTACCAAGTTCATGACTGTGTATCGAAGATAGTGAAAGTGTAAGAAGATATGAAAAGATTTATTCAGTAACAACAAAATTTTCAGAAACCAAGTCCGAGTCAGTCAGAGTGAAAAAATTAAATGCACACTGAATTGTATTTGACAAGTCATTTGGCATAGTAAATTATCTTTCTGGAACAACAGGTTAGGAAACAGTTTTTAGTCTTGTTCATTTACTCCATTTACTTCCATGGAAGTTGGCTCATGAAAAATAAAAAATTAATCCCTAAGCTTGATAGCTTTGCCCTTTCCATCAGTACTGTGGGCATAGACTATAACTCCAGGTGTCACTGAACAATCAGGTATTAATGTAATTTCTCATCTGGCTTCCCCACCCCCCACCTTACAAATTAGCAGTATAGCGATCTCTGTTCTGAAAGTCTCTGTAAGCACGTTTTGCATCTGCTTTGCTGTGTGGGATTCTTCCAAAAGGCTCCAGATCATTGAAGCAGGCATCAAAAACTTCATCCACAGCTTTTTCTGCTGTTTCTTTGCTAACTTTTCTAACAGCCAGAATGGAACGGATTGCTCTGTCTCGCACACAAGTCTAAAGTGAAAAAAAAATAAAGAAAAATGTCATTATTAGCACAGGTTTTTTCCAGATTTTCCAAATATTAACTCCTATTGTATAGGCAATAATTTTGTATGAAAGAAGAGTCAAACAGTGCCTGTAATAAGCATTAAAGTACATTTTAGTTCCATCCTGTGTGAACTATGTGCTTTAGTTTTCCATGTATACATAAACCATGAAATAATTAAGACAGTAGCAGGAATTAAAATACAATTTGGCATTTGTTGTAGGTATGAAGTATTTGTAAAACTTTTGTTTGTAAATTTGTAAAACTTGACCTAGATAAAAAAAAAAAAAAAAAATCAGAAAGAAAGACACAAGTACCAGTTAGGTTCTTTACAAACTGAAATGCTGTAAAACTAAGAGATGACTTCTCTACTGGCCTTCATTTTGACACCTCTCTTTATGGTAACCTTTTCTTATAGTTTGTTTCCCAAAAGACCAAAAAATATGTAAACATCAAAAGACCAAAAAAATATGTAAACATGGCTAACTGCCAGTCTAACATGAGCAACTACTTGGGTCTCAATCTGTAGACTTCATACTATTTACAAAAATTAATTCCTACAAGATTTAACACACATGGTTACTTAGAAATCTTCTCATTTTGCTTCCTTCAGTTTTCAAAGACTTTTTCTGAGTGTCACCCACTTATAGTGGACAAGGTATTTCCACTACATTTCCTGCAAGCCCTGCTTTTTGTTTGATTAGCCATCCACTGTCAGTGGTAATGCCTTAAAACATGACTAAATATTGAGGGATTTCAATGCAAATAACAAGGTGGGAAAAAAAAACCTAACATCGATCATTAAGGGTTAGTCAAGAGGAAATCGATGATAAAGGGTTAGTTAAGAGGAAACACCAAGCCCATGGCATCTATTTCTTTTTTTAAAGCTTTCAGCTATGAAAGTGTAGAAGGCTGAGACAAAGTAGGTAAAGATGACTCATAACAAATTATTATATTTTAACATCCACAGTCTTTACCTGATGGTGTCCTTTCAATCCAAACTTAAACCTGGCTATTTCATTCATCAGTGTACAGTCTCCACTGAGATTAGCAGCTCGAATCTATTGAGAAAAATAAAAAGTCACAAGATCAGAGAAACACATAAAAATACGAAGTCAAAAAAGTTGTAACAAATGCTTTTCTTCAGTATATTTCTGGTGACTGCTGGTAGAGGATATTCCTGAGGCCACTTTAACTTAAGTACCTGTTAACACCATATCCTTCACATCCATCTCAGCCTCAGTGAACTACAGCAAGTAGTCCTTCCAACTCCTTCAAGTTCCTCCAGGAACTACATCTCACATATCCCTAAAGTTTAAATAAATGAGCAGTAGAGCTTATATGTGTGAGTGTATTTATATATGAACTGCTAAAAGAACGTGAAAAGTAATATTCTTCCCAGTCTATATCAGAATCTGTTACAAGAATCAGGAAGAAAGGCAGATACCTTTCAATGACTACAGCTGCAATACCCAGAAGAGCAGTAACCCATCTGTTTTGCAAAAAGCTACATATAAATGTATGCTTTAGCTTAACTGTCTTGTCCTGTACACTAGAATTTTTTTTGTCTGCTAAATATTCTATACTCTATACAGTATGTTAGGAAATGTAAATAAATATTGATTTCCTATAATTAAGTACCAGAGTAAAAATAAATGCATGGAAAAAAATGAAAAGTAAGAATTAAAAAGCCGCTAAAAAAAAATGTAGATACCATATAATTAAGTAATCAAAATACCCAAAATGAAAAAAATTATCCTGAAAAGAGCAACAACATGCACAATCTTGATTTATATAAAACAGATACATCACCTGTGTCACACACACAAGAGGATGTGCTCCATTTAATTTCATCTTCTAAAGCACCAAATATTAAGGTCTTTAATTCTCAAATGTCCTCTGAGACCACAGAATCATAGAACGGTTTGGGTTCTAAAGGACCTTAAAGATCATTCTAGTTCTAATCTCCCTGCCATGGGCAGGGACACCTACTAGACCAGGTTGCTCAGAACCCCATTGAATGGAGATGGATTCATAATTACAATGTACCAGCAGCAATAAATACCACAATTACTCAAAAAAGAACATTACAGGAAAAGACAAGTTTGTTGTTAATAAAAAAATATTAAATAAAAACAAGGTTATTGTGATAACTACCAAACATACCAAGACTTGCATGGGATAAAAAGAATTCTATAAGCATTTGATTAATGTGTGAATGTGTTTTCACTTCTAACTACTCTCTTATTTATCAATAACCACTTATGACATTAACTTATTAATAATTGTGAAAACTAAGCATTTGTTTTACAAATAAGCCCCTTTAGGCTGACCTGACAGAAAGGACAAAAGGTACTAACAGGCTTAAAACAAATGAATTATGTGTAACAGACCATATAGCACAAAGCAACCCTAATAACCAGCAATAATAAACAGAATGACAACATTAGAAGCATTTTAACTTACCTCTGAACATGCCAAGTGTTTGACATTTTTAAACCAGTCAACATGTGCACGGCAGTGATCAAATGCATGAATCAATTCATGTGTGACCACCCGGTTCATATGGGATTGTTGGCGAATGTTGTTCTGACACAGAACAATCTGCAGAAGAAGAGAGACAGGTTCTCACTAAGCTTCTTCCCTTACTTCTCAGAGACACAGCATACACCACTGACAGGATTTAGGGTGTTTGGACGGGTGTTTTCCAACATTAACAGCCTTATCATCCTGAAGGGTACTAGTTCCAACACCATGGAACATCTTTCATTTATCTCTTTTCATGAATAACTTAGGTATCAGTATTGGCAGATTTAATCCTAGCAATAAAACACTAAAGAAATTGCAGTCCTTTGAAAGGGGACTGTGTCTAGCACCTACCTGTGATGTGGCAGCATCAAAACCTCCACTAACACAGCCATCACAGTTTTCACAAGAAAAGTGCCGGTCGTTGAAGACAGTGCTGAAAGGCCCAAACAAAGTTACAGAAAAGAATCTGAAAAATTTCAGTCACTACTTATTACAGTGACGTCACTACACAGAACAAGACAAATAAGTTTACATACCAACCAGATTGCTTCAGAGCCTCAAGGAGAAGTCGAGCATATGGATCTAGAAAAAATTGCTGCAATCAGTTTCTCTAGACAAAAGTTTTGAAAATCATCTATAAAAAAATATAAAGACAGTCAAGGAAAAGAAAACAAACAAGAAAAGTTATATACGTGCTAATTCATACATTGCAGGATTTAATCCTATTGCAATGCAACTGACATCTGTTACAGATCACATTATGTGATATAGAATCATAGAATGGTTTGAATTGGAAGGGACCTTAGAGATAACCTAGTCTCAATCGCCCTGCCTTGGGCAATGACACGTGTCACTCGACCAGGTTCCTCAGAGCCCCATCTATCTGGGCCTTGGAAAACTCCCAGAGATGGTGCAACCACAGCTCTTCTGGGCAACTGTCCCAGTGCCTCATCACCCTCACAAAAAATTTCTTCTGTATATTTAGCCTATTTTTGCCCTGTTGTAGTTTGAGCCCATTACTCCTCGTGCTATCACTGCAATTCATGATGAGGAGTCTCTGTCTGGCTTCCATGTAGGCTCCTTCAGACACTGAAAGGTTGCTCTGAGGTTTCCATACAGCCTTCTCTTCTCCAGGCTGAACATCCCCAACTTTCTCAGCCTCTCTTTGTAGGGGAGGTGCTCTTTACCAACTTGGTGGCCCTGCTCAGGACTCACTCCAACAGTTCCATGTTCTTCTTCTCTTGGGGGCAGGTGGATGCAGCACTACAGGTGGGGTCCCAGGAGAGCAGAATAGAAGGGGAGAATGACCTCCCCTGACCTGCTGGCCATGGTCCTTTTGATGTAACCCAGGACACAGAGTAGAAGCTATTCAGGAATCAAGTCAATCCTGACATTATTTTATTACTAATAAACATAATCAGAGTGGCCTATAGTGACCATCATTTGCTGTTAACACAGTCTACATCAAACAGTGAAAAGGGCGCGAATGCACAGAAATTGACAAATCATCTTAACTTTTCAGGGAAAAAAATTAGAACCTTATTAAAAGAAGAAAAAAAACCCTCCATCACTTTCGAAATCGTATTCTGTCTAAACCAAAATCAGCGCGTTGCCAAAGCGGCAGCCCCACCCGCCACCTGCTCGGGCCCAGCCCGGCGGCCGCGGGGGGGCTGCGGCAGGAGGGCAGGAGGGCAGGAGGGCA